AGAATGTGTGCAGGCAGCATAAATTAAGTTTCCTTCCACTGGCAATGTAGGGCTTATAAGCTTTGCAATTAAGTTTATTCTCAGAAAAGCTTGGGTGAGATTTCACCATCATAACCTTTGAAGTATCACAGGGACCCTCAGAAAGTTTGCAGCTGAGCCCTGGGCAGGGTCAAGAGCATCCAGGGAAAGCCTGTGAGGCTTGTCCTTGTCTCTCCACAGTGGCACTGTCCTGTTTGCAGTGCTATGCAGAGAAATTTACTCTCTGTCCACTTGCGACTTTTTTTTTTTTTTTTTGGTGGAACCGGGGATTGAACTCAGGCCCTTGCACTTGCCAGGCAAGTGCTTATTCTACTGAGCCATCTCCCCAGCCCGTTTTCTCAGCTCTATGACCCAAACTTTTTGCAAATTTATTTATTTATTTATTTTTAATTTATTTATTCATGGATGGGATGGGAGTCACATTTCTGTACAGACCCAGCACTTGTATTTTCTGGAATTGGAATAAGCTCCATGGGAACATGCCACAGTGGAGGCAGGGCCACGGAGAGGGCCACGCGGGCCTGCGGTTTTTCCTAAGGCTCCTTCCAGGCCGTGTCCCCCAGGTCCACTTCTTCTGCCCGTGTGCTCATCCGGGTCACGGCTCTTCTCTTCTGTGTGGGGTTTCCTCCTGCTCTGTCTAGGTTTCACTCCTATTTCTTTGGTTTTCATGAGTTAATTGGTGCACAAATTCTTTTGGCCTAAACTGCATACATTTTTTTCACGTCTGGACTCTTACCATGCAGGATTCACACAGCTTTCCGTTTCTCCCTCTAATCCTGACAGCTTCCTGATTTTCTTCTGGGAAACACTTTTCTTAACCTTTAACACGTATTTCACTGTGTGTTCTCCAAGTATGGATTCTCCACGCTTCTCCTGCCCTCTGCCGCCTGCTGCCTGCCCTGGGCTGAGTCTCTCCTGAGAGGCGTGCTGCTGGGCCTCCTGGCCTAGGATGCCTTCGTACCCTGAGCTCTCTGCAACAGTGAGTCAAGCTAATTCTCTGCTCCCCTAATATGGGCGCTGGGTTCTTTCTCTCACCAGTGAGAAAGAAGTAACCGACGTAACCTATCTCCGGGGAGCCCACTGAAGCCTCTGCCTTCTCTGTAAGCTGATGGTCGTTCTCTCTACGAATAGAGCAGTGCCCTTCGGAGTGGGGCTTTGAACTCTCTACCTAGAGATGCTTTCGTTGTTCTTTCCATTGCGAGTGCCTGTTAAGCTTGCAGTGTCCCTCTTGCTACCTGGCAGGTCTCCCCGCCGTGGGCTACCTGGCTTCCTCACCCCCGCCTCTGGTTCTTAGACATTCTCCAACAGAAAGCGCAGCTGTTTCCACCCGCTTTGCAAATCTCCACTCATAACTTTTACTTAGTTTTCAAGAAAGCCCCTGTCTATGAAAGAAGGGTACAGTTTGAAAATGCTGTCTAGGGCTCTGGGAAATAGCTCAGTAGAATAAGCACTTGCCTGGCAAGCACAGGGTCCTGAGTTCAATCCCCAGCACCGCCAAAAAAAAAATGCTGTCTAAATAGAACCAGAGGGGCTGACGAGATGGCTCAGTGGTCTAAAGCACCTACTTAGAACAAGCTTAGCAAAGCACAGGGACCGCGGTTCAATCCCCCAGCACCACATGCCAGCCAGCCCCGCCCCCTGGTGGGCTGAGCTGGCCACACACACACGCGCACACACACACTAAATAAATGTAAAAAAAATAATAATAAAAAAATAAATAGAACCAGAGGGAAAAGGAATCAATTTCCTAAATGAAGGTTTCGGAAAAGTGGATTTCTTTCATTCCTCAGAGTAATTCCTCACGTACTTGCCTGCTTTTCCCTTGGATTCTGATTTGTGGGCTGCTTCTGTGACCCATGCTCAAGTGGCGCTGTGCCAGCACCCCTGGGAACACCACCAGGGGAGGCAGCGCTGCGATTCTGCTGTTGCCTCGGCCCTGACTTCCAGCACAGACTTGGCCTCCTGCGAGAGGAGTTCCGGAAGGATGGAGGATGCGTGTTCACCGGCCGAGATGTGACATAAACACTTGGCGAGCTCAGCTCGTGCGGGCTCTTCACGAGTAGGGTGGAAGGGTTTTGTGTCATGACTCTCCCTCTTCTTCCCTGTCTGGTGATGTAGGAGGTGGTGACCTTCGAGGACGTGTCTGTGAACTTCTCCAGGGAGGAGTGGGCTCTGCTGGATCCGTCCCAGAAGAAGCTCTACGGAGACGTGATGTGGGAGACCTTTAGGAACCTGGCTGCCGTAGGTAAGGAAGATACAGTCTTCTCATTTATGCGCTGAGAGCATTGGATCCTGCTCTTCAGCAGAGTTCCCTTAATGGGAAGCTGGAAGCCTTAGGAAGCACCTTCTAGGCCTGGTGCCATTTAACTGACTCAGGCTGGAGTCTACAGGTTCGCATATGCGTACTGAGTCCTCAGGACTTGTCTGTTTGTGCCCTTTAGGGAGGAGCTCAGGTGACCAGCACCTTGAAGATAAGGACAGGAAATGCGGGAAGCAGCTCAGGTAATGTGTCCTCAGGGAGGAAACTTCCTCTCAGCCACAGTGTTAACCCAAGAAAAGTGCACGAGAAAGAGCGGTGCACACTTCTTTTACCTCCCAGCGTTTCTCACTGGACATGCACATTGAGTATCTGCAGTCTGACAACGGAGTATTTGAAACCTGCCTATGTTAGAAATGGAGGTGTTACTCATTGTGCCAAATCTGACCTCATTGAAGTGATGTGAAAGAACATTATTAGAAGGTGAGTGAGTTTGTGCCTGCCTATGATCCTAGCACTGGAGGCTGAGGCAGGAAAATCACCACAAGGTCCCGGCCAACCTGGGCCACACAGGAAGTGCAAGGCCAGCGTCAGCTGCAGAGCGAGACCCTGCCTGAAATTCCAAAGTAAGCACAAGTTTTGTTCCATGTTCAGGTGTGTAGATATGTTTGATGACATTGCATTCAAGAATTTTTTTTTTTAAATATTTATTTTTATTTATTACATTTATTTATTGTGTGTGTGTGTGTGTGTGGCCAGCTCAGCCCACCAGGGGGCGGGGCTGGCTGCCATGTGGTGCTGGAGGATTGAACCGAGGTCCCTATGCTTTGCCAAGCTTGTTTCAAGTAGGTGCTTTAGACCACTGAGCCATCTCTCCAGCCCCTGCATTCAAGAATTGAGTACAGGAGGATATAAAACAAATTTTATGTATACGTTGACAGCTAACTTAGTATTGTATATTCATGTTTTTAAAAGAGCACTTTCATACCAAACAAATTGTATGTGGCACTATGTGTGGCTCATCATGATGTGCACAGTCAGTGTTTGTAAGATTGGTCATCGGTGCATATTTTCAAAATCTGAAGAAATAGCACTTTTTATGTCATACTTGTTTTCAAGCAGACCTGCAAAGCCCACCGTCCATTCAGATTCCAGGACATTAGAAGGGGCCTCGCCCACGGCATTGGTGGGCCAGGCAGTGTGCTGTAATATTTATGGATGTCAATGTAGGGATTCCACAAAACGGGGCGAATAGAGATGCTCTTGTGTACAACTGTGCAGATTTGTTTTGTTGTTGTTGGTTTCTTTGTTTTTTGAGAGGGCGTCTTACCACCTAGCCCATGCTGGCCTAAAGCTCAGTGGTCCTCCTGCTTGAGGTTCCCAGAGGGTAACATGTGCCGTTACCTCCCAGCCACCCCTAGGCTGAAGGCTTATGCATGTGTTCACTGAATGCTAAAGTGAGCTCATTACCGTTGTGCTTTTTTTTTTTAATTTTGTTTGGTTTTGGGTTGTTTGCGGAACCAAGGATTGAACTCAGGCCCTTGCGCTTGCCAGGGAAGCGCTTATTCCACCGAGCCGTCTCCCCAGGCCTGTTGTACTGAAATACACATTTGTAGCTGCGAAACTCAGAAGAGTTAAGCTCTGAGAAGCCTAACTGCCCATGCAGACATGAGCTGACTAAAGAAACGTGGCACGTCGTGGGCTGAAAGGGGCCTGCGTGGAGCCCTGCGCTGCGGGAGGCTGCAGCAGGAAGGTCCTGCGGCCCGCTCGGCTGAACACAAGCCAGCGCGGGGGCGTGTCTCGGTGCTCACACCCGGGTTCGGTGTACAAACAGAGTGCGCTCTATTCCTCAATTCCTTTGTTTGTTGCAAATGGGCCAGTCACAAAGCCCTGAGTGCCTCCTACTATTTGGGCAAAAGCTGGATCCACACCATCATAAATGGTGCCCAGTAAATGCATGATTAAATATCCTTAGTGGGCACCAGCTTGGGTCTCCTCATGGGGAGTCTTTGCTAAATGACAGTATTAAAGGTGATTGTTTCTTTTGACTCACTCCCCTTACAGAAGTGAGGAGGCAGAGCGATCCTGTGGCCATACGCTGCGGTGTCAGCGTGGAGAAATGGGTTTTCAGCCTCCGGATAACAGTGTGCACCCGGCAGTGGTTGCTGTCACGCCGGCTGCAGGCCTTTCCTGGAGAGGGCCGCTGGCCGGTCACTCCTCGGCAGCGGGGCCCACCGTGGCCAGCACCGCACTCCAACCATGCCAGCTGCAGGGCTTTCAGGAGAAGCTCTCTGCCTGTAACAAACCCGGCAGAACCCACACCAAGCTCCGGTCCTGTCAGGAACATACAAACACAAGTCCTGAGGAGAAATCCTGTGAATATGTGCCCTGTGCAAAATCATGCTATGATTTCACTGGAGAAAGTGCTACTTCGGAGAACCCGGACAGTCGTTCGTGCCTGACAGCCAGCGATGTTGAAATCTGGGGAGGGTGTCACCGTGAGGGACGTATGTGTTCGTGTGTACCATACGGATGTTCTCATTCTTCCTACAATATTCAGGCACAAGAAAAAGCTCACTGTGGAGAAAATGCCCACGTACATAAACACGATGGACCATCCTCCACGGATCACTCACTGGGTAATCTTGAACGAAGTCACATCGAGGAGAAACCCTGTGTGTGCCGGCAGTGTGGGCCAGCTTGCAGCACACAGCATTGTTATGCCCTGCATGAACGTGTTCGCCCCAGGGAGACATCCCATGTGTGTAGGCATTGTGGGAAAGCCTTCGTCACGCGTGATGCGTGTGAAAGGCACGAGTGGAATCACACAGGGCAGAAGCCCTATGCGTGCGTGGCATGCGGCAAAACCTTCGTCACACGTCATGCTTGTGACAGACATGCCTGGACTCACACTAGGGAGAAACACTATGCATGTAAGCAGTGTGGCAAGGCTTTCTTCACCTGTAGGAATTGTAGAAGGCACGAGCGGACGCACGCTGGGAAGAAACTCCATACATGTAAGCAGTGTGGCAAAGCGTTCGCCGCGAGGTGTCACCTGAAACAGCACGAATGGTCGCACACTGTGGAGAAGCCCTATGCGTGTATGCAGTGCGGCAAGGCCTTCTGTACCCGTGATGCTTGCCAGCAGCACGAACTCACTCACATGGTGCAGAAGCCCTGCGTGTGCAATCAGTGTGGCAAAGCTTTCAGCGCTCAGTGTTTACTTCAAGACCATGAAAAGACTCACGGTGGAGAGAAACCTTACGTTTGTCATGACTGTGGCAAAGCTTTCAGCAAACGTCGTGCTTGTGAACGTCACGAGCGGACTCACACTGGGGAGAAACCCTACGCGTGTGTGCAGTGCGGCAAAGCGTTCAGTGTGCGTTTCAATTGCCAGAGGCATGAGCGGACTCACGCTGAAGAGAAACCCTTTGCGTGTAAGCAGTGTGGCAAGGCGTTCAAAGAGCACCATGCCTGTGAAAGGCACGAACGGACTCACACTGGGGAGAAACCCTACACGTGTAGGCACTGCGGCAAAGCTTTGAGCAACAGGGATACTTGGAAAATGCATGAACGGATTCACACTGGGGAAAAACCCTTCGTGTGTAAGGGCTGCGGTAAGGCGTTCGTCACACATCGGAATTGCCAAATACACGAACGAATTCACACCGGGGAGATGCCCTACGCGTGTAAGCAGTGTGGGAAGGCTTTCAGCAGAAAATACAGTTGGCAGGTGCATGAGCGGACCCACACCGGGGAGAAGCCCTACGCGTGTAAGCAGTGCGGGAAAGCTTTCGTCACAAGAGATAGTTGTCAAATTCATGAGCGGACTCACACTGGGGAGAAGCCCTTTGTATGTGTGCTGTGTGGGAAAGCTTTCAGCACCAAATCAGGTTGGAAAATACATCAAAGGAGTCACACAAAAATTAAGCCCTATTCGTGTAAGCAGTGTGGCAGAGCTTTTAGCACGAAAGGTTCTTGCCAAATTCACGAACGTACCCACGCTGGGGAGAAGCCTTACGTATGTAAGCTGTGTGCGAAAGCTTTCAGCAGCAAACTAGGTTGGAAAATGCATGAACGGAATCACGCAGAAAGGAGACCCCGTTCATGTGAACTTGGGCTTGCCAAAGGCATGAAGGGGCTCCCACTGGGAGACGCCCTGTGCGTGTCAGCAGTGCCGCCAATCATGAGGGATGTTTGGCAAATGCATGAACGGGCACACACTGGGGAGAAACCCTCTCCAGAGTGCTGGACAACGTCTTCCCAGAGAATGCAGAATGACCTTCATTGAGGCGACACTCGGGAAAAGCTTGCTTCAGTCTGCAAAGAGTAACAGTCTTCACATCCAGCCTGCTTGACGGTGATCACCAGAATGAAGTGCAAGTTTTGTGTGCTCAGTGGGCACTTGGGTTTTTGAACAAGGAGAATATGTGGCCCAAATAATTTTTTTTGGGGGGGGGCAGTTCAGCCCGCCCTGTGGGCAGGGCTGGTGCTGCATGTGGTGCTAGGGAGCAAATCACAGTCCCTGAGCTTGCCTACGCTTGCCTAAGCAGGCGCTTTAGATCACTGAGCTATATCGCCAGCCCCCGTAGTTTTTTTATTAATTCAAGCCTTTTGCTAAACAGACATCCCTGAAGGACTGGTGAGATGGCTCAGTGGTCTGAAGCACCTACTTAGGGCAAGCTTGGCAAAGCACAGGGACCGCAGTTCAGTCCCCCAGCACCACATGCCAGGCAGCCCCGCCCCCTGGTGGGCTGAGCGGGCCACACACACACACACACACACACACACACACACATCCCTGAGACAACAGACCACCCCAAAGAAGACTACAGTAAGTTAAATGTGTCTTAAGCCCAGCCAGGTAGCTCAGCAGATTAAAGGGTCTGTGTAGGCAGACACAGGGAGCAGGGTTCCATCCCTGGCATGCCGTGCCAGCACCACCCCCGGGGCACAGTGAGACAGATGGTGAATGACACTGGGCGTGGTGGCGCCCGCCTGTAATCCTAGCGCTTGGGAGGCTGAAAACAGGAGGATCACTACGAGTCCTATCTGTGTAATGAGACCCTGTAGACCCTATACTAAACACATTTTATTTTATTTTATTTATTTTTTTGGTGGAACCGGGGATTGAACTCAGGCCCTTGTGCTTGCCAGGGAAGCGCATATTCCACTGAGCCATCTCCCCGGCCCCTCTAAATACATTTTAAAAAGTGTTTTAAAAAGGAAGTGAAAGTGCCTGGCTAGCTCAGTCAGTAGAGCATGAGACTCTTAAAAAAGGAATTGAATAGGGGCCGGGGAAATGGCTCAGTGGGATAAGCACTTCCCTGGCAAGTGCAAGGGCCTGAGTTCAATCCCCGGTTCTGCCAAAAGAAAAAAAGGAAGTGAATGAATACAGGCCTATGTGCTTTGTAAGGATTTCTAGAAAATGCTTGAAGGCCTCACAGATACAGGCATGAATGAGTCTGTTCTTGGCTGAGAACTGTGGTCGCCCTGTGGCCCACTACAAGGCCCAGCCTCCTTGTGGGGGCTGGCGTCCCCCCAACTCGGCCTGCAGTGGGCCTCACCTGTGTTCAGGAAGGCCAGACTGACAATTCATGTATGGGGAACAGATTTATTACAGAAGTGGAATTTAAGACTGTTAATACTGATTTGAAAAGTGAATGGTGAATGAAAAAGGCCTACATACGTGGGATCCTTCTGCAACGGGGGATGCTAATTTCACTTACGCAAATGAGTCGCAGAGCGGTTCAGCTGGGACCTCCGGGGCCCTCTGTCAGGGCCTGGAATACTCCTCTTGCTGTGATGCCCGAGACAGCAGGTACAGGAAGGGTTAGCTTACAGACATTAACGCTTCCTTGCTCCGAACGGGGGCGCTACAGCCCCGACCCTGCCG